AACTCTAAACATTAATAACTTTTTAACGAAGCCTCCGTCAACAAATTACTATTCTTGATTATCGTCTTATTTTTGCCTCTAGAATCTCCCATTAAAATTTTTCCCATGAATGGCCGAACACCCCGTATAATTGAATTTTTTTCTCGAAAATGCGCAGGATTTCGGGGGTATGTCTATTCAACAAAAATTATTGTAATTGAACCCCGCGACCGAAAATAATTTTTCCAGAACGATTTGCAATTTTTTTCTTTCCGTCGAAAAATTTCACACATTCTCGAATTTTTTTCTAGAAAGTGGATAGGATTTCGGGGGTATGTCTATTCACCAAAAATTATTGCAATGGACCCCTGCGACCGAAAATATTTTTTTTTAGCGATTAGAAATTTGTTTTGGAAGAAGAATATTTCTGGTCACTGATCCAGACATTATATTTTCAGTAATGAATTTTTTTCTCGAAAGTACGTAGGATTTCGGGGGTATGTCTAATCAGCAATAATGATTGTAATTGACCTCAGCAACCGAAAATAATTTTTCCAGAATGATTTGAAATTTTTGAATTTTATTGTTAATAACTTTTTAACGAAGCCTCAATCAAGAAATTGATATACTTGATTTTCGTCTTATTTTGGCCTCCAGAATCTTTCGTTAAAATTTTTCCCAGGTATGGCCGAACATCCTGTACATTCCGATTATGTTTTTATTTTCATGTTCCTATATTCATTTATGCACTCTTATACGTGTGCAAGAAATGCATTAAAGAAAGATAAACCCGTAACGAAAACAAGATATTACTTTTGATCGTTAAAGAAGCAATAAAACGTGCCTCTGGCATCTAGTTTCAATATTTATAACTATGTCTGATGCTACAAACCAATGATAGTAGTAACTCTAGAAGGTTGTAAAGTAAGTTTTAATAAGCTTTGATATCTACGATAACAGCAATCAGCGCGCGTACTTAAAACGATAAGTATCGAGCAAACTTTAAACTAATAATTTATCAATGACGTAAGTAAACAAATTACAGATTAGAAAAGCTAGTCCAGAGAGATGGAAAACTAACGAGCACAATCTTAAGAGACAACTTAACTAAACTCAAAAAATAAAATAAATTTCCTTTTCTATTGCATTCGTTATTGCTCCTAATACTAAGCAAATTACATACAGGGTGTTCGGTCACCACTGGGAACAGATTTTAATGGGGGATTCCAGAGGTCAAAATAAGACGAAAATCAAGAATACCAATTTGTTAATGGAGGCTTCGTTAAAAAGTTATTAACAATTAAATTAAAAAATTTGAAATCGTTCTAAAAAAATTATTATCATTTGCAGGGGTCAATTACAAGGATTTTTGGTCAAAAGTCATAGCCCCGAATTCCTACTCAGTTTCGAGAAAAAAATTCGAGTATGTGCCGAAATTTTTCGGTGAAATTGAAAAATTTCAAATCGTTTTGGAAAAAATATTTTCAGTCACAGGGGTCAGTTACAAGTATTTTTGGTCAAGAGACATACCCCCGAAATTCTACGCCCTTTCGAGAAAAAAATTCGAGAATTTGTGTATCGACGGGGGAAAAAAAATTTCAAATCGTTTTGGAAAAATTATTTTCCGTTGCGGGGCTCAATTAGAATCATTTTTGGTGAATAGACACACTCCCGAAATCTTGCGCGTTTTCGAGAAAAAAATTCAGTACGGGGGGAACTTTGAACGTTAATAACTTTTTAACGAAGCCTCCATCAACAAATTGGTATTCTTGATTATCGTCTTATTTTGGCCTCTAGAATCTCCCATTAAAATTTTTCCCATGGATAGCCGAACACCCTGTATATTGAAAGTGAAGGAAATTGGCATTTAATTTCCCAGAACTTTGGTGTACTTTCTGGAAAAGTGGTTCTATAGTTTTACTGATTCTTTGTAATTGTCGTCGGATTTTAATAAGTGGTATCTTTCTTTTCAGAATATTCGCACGAACACGTGGTAATCGTGGTGTTAACACGCTCAATTCGAAGAAAATTACCGTCTGAAAACGTTCACTTAGAACCGTCGCGCTGGAATAACTCGCTCGTACGTTTCAACCCATAGTAGAAAATGTGGATATGGAAATTCTCAATACTCTGGTCTATCTACAATGAAACGGCTTTGTTCGTAGAATAACTTCAGTTTAATTTTATTCGTGGCGCTTTAAAGCTCGCGGTTAGCGAACGCCTCTTAATTATAAATTCATGAATTCGTTAACATCAGGCTAAAGCCAATTAACTGCTTACTATCGCATCTGTGTTTTACTAACACGATTAATTAAAACAACACTCGGAAGAAAAAAATTAATTTCTTTTCTTACGAATTACATATATGTATGTGTAAATAATTGAATTCTCAGTAATTCGAGCGAACTTAGAAAATAACGAAATCTACTTATTTCTTAAATTAACAGACACGAATACGTCACAATTTCTTCCAACGTGTCAATTAAATGCCATTGTATTTGAAGATAATAATCATGTACACGAAACAATCTTTTCATTAATGAAATAATTAAAATATTTACAGTGTATTTTACTCTTTCTTTATCAGAGAAAAATTATACGAAAATCTAGGATTTTCAAAGGTTGTTCGAGGTCAGAAATAAAAGAAATAGTTCGAATATTTCGTACCATTGTATTTGCCAGAATTTTTTATTGATAAAACCTCATAAAATGTTGAATATAATTTTTGTGCGTAAGAATGCAGTTTCCAGTTTTATGAATTAATCGTTCCAAAACAATCAATAACAATCGAAACAAAACAATTCGAAATATTTTTTTTATTTCTCAGAACCATTGCGTTAGATACAGTCAGAATTTGTCTTAACACGCATTTTCATGGGATATAAAATATTATAGTTTCCATTAAAAAAATTTAAATAACATTCTCGTTCCTCGAAAAATATCGCAAACGTAAAAAATTGACATTCGTTACTACGTTGCGTGTATTTATCATTTATGAGGAAAACAGTAGCTGGGTATCTGTGTGAACACCCTGTATAGTAGTTTACGTACCTCGTGCTCTTGCACGTTCTCGTTACGCCTTTACCGACAAATTTATGGCGATACCGAGTATTTGGATGGAATAGCAGATGGAACGATGAGACTTTCCCCGTCCACTTCTATCACTATATTTACAAACGTGTACAGACACAGCCTCGAATAATCTAACTTATACGAATGCTGAAACTTGTATGTTTCACTGTAATTGGCGTTGATTGAAGTGCCAACAGAGTTTGGCAGAAATTGCCTAGGGACGTCAAAATTCGTATTTGTGTACACTCCGGTGTGGACGAAGCAGATTTAGCATAAAAAAAAAAGTCGACTTGAATGAACTTCCGTGCTGCTCATTAAGCAATTGAAAAAACAATAAAAATGACTAGATCGAGCAGTGTATCAAAAACAGTACGTGAATTTCGTTCCTTGGGGTTAATTGGTTCTCGAATTTTATACTCCAAACTTAGTTTTATAATTGTTGGATTTATGGGGCTTCACAAAATTAACAACACTCTGATAAACAGTTCAATATATGTATATATATTTGTTTCTACAATGGGCCATGTAACCACACGCGTTCATTCGACCATCGACCAAAAACCACTGCCTTTGTTCTCGGGCCACGCATCCGGCCCCGGCAACCGACTCGCCCCGAAGGCTCCCGAGCCTACCCGAATCGCGCATCGGAAGACGTGCAGTTGCACCGCGCTCCTTTGTTCCAACAATAATCTTCAACCAACTATAATTATCTGTAAAGTGAATAATCTTATTAGTAGGAAAGAAGCTTGTATTAATAAATTGAATAAGATTCTACAAAAGATAATAAGTTGCTTAATATTAGCGAAAAACAACCAAATAAACGGAGTTCGTGGAACAGAAAATTGTTTATTTATTTTTCCGTTCTCTTTCGTAAAAAGTGTGCTCTAATGGTAATACAAAATGTAATTTATTCGGGTCTGATAAACCATACAGCGTAATTGCAGAGGTAGCGAAGGAGAGATGTTTAGTTTAAAAAGTATTTGAACTGTATTTTTTTATTTTTATTCCGTCACCTATTTCCAATAGACCCGATCAGGTAACAGTGAAAAACATTTAGAGAGAATGGAATCTAAACAAATATTTTAGAAGACCAAAACTTTGATTTTAGACATTTTCTGCTAAAATTTATGTTTCACGAGACAAGTTTATTTCATTTAATATTTCAATTTCGAGAATTAATTGTTTCAGTTTCATGGTGAAAAGTCCTGTCGTCCATACAATATGGATGACGTGCCATCCAAGGTGTTAGCGTTGATGTTCCGGCGGAATTAATACTCGATAGATTATTTACGAATTCAGAGAATTTTAATAGAATTTGCTGCAAATTATCCTCTCTCGATTACTAAATTTATACAGTTCGAAAATGTAACTTTATCGCGGTATATTCGTATTTAAAAAAATACAGGATGAATATTTTCATATCCTGGATCACAATTATTTTTAAACTCATTATTAGATCGAGTCATAATATATATGGACGAGGCTTCAGTTAGTCTTTTGCCAGTGTTTTGTGTGATACACGTTACGTGAAACTGTTCTTTTTAACCTCGGAAATTTTACATTTTTCACATTTTACAAGGAAGGAATTGATAAACTGCCAGGAAGATGGGAGAAGGTTATAGATAATAGCGGTGAATACGTAATAAATTGATAGAATTTTGTTATTCAATGAGAGCAATATAAATGTCTGATAGAAAAACGGAAGTTACTTACGACTCGACCTAATAACTGCTTAAGATCATTTGGATTGTTCGTTTGTACACCTGATAATAAAGACAAAATCGATCTTGATGGGAAGAATTCCGCGATACGCGATAACGTTACTTTGCCCGTTATACGACGGAAATGTTCCATCAACAGGCTACGATTCTTCGACGAGATTTCATCGAGATATATACTTTTTTCTTATCGCCAGGTTTCGTAATACGCTGAAATTCATTTTGTTTCAGGGGTACGAGGGTTCCCTGCTGAAAGTCACAAGTAAAAATGGGAAAACAGCGTCGGTGAGTCATTATAATTTTTTTCCCCCCCCTCTTAAATTACCAGTCACGTTTCGCGATATCTTTTCACGCGCTTTTAACGCGACGATGGATCTGTCCTGGATCTCTATACGCGAAAGGTTAGCCGAAAAGAGAGAGCAACATCGAACCATAGATTCTTCGAAAAAATACAATTCCCTTTTACGATTCGAGGAGCTTTTCCATCGAGCGGGAACAGGTCGAGAAAGTCTCGGGATTCGCTGGCGGTTGTTTGCCCGGTAAGGAAACAGATGGGAAAACTAGCGAACGGGAAGTTTCAATCAAATTCTTCCCCCCGATCCAGCCAAGTTTGCATGCTTTCGATCATTTTTTGTTCTTTTTTTTTTTTTGTTCCGTCGGAACGGAACAAAAATTTCTTTTCTTAGTTTTCGATACTTCGACGCGTACAAATTTTTTCCTCCATTTGCGTTATTACCTTACTATCGGGTTTTCTCGTTTTTTTAATACTTCGACGCGTACAAATTCTTTCCTCCGTTCGCGTTATAAACATACTATCGGCTTTTCAGGATCAACAATTTATCGATATTCCCCGTGAATTCTATTCGCGTTTTTTATACTCGTTCATTTTAAAGAAAGTTCACACGTTGTATACTTTGTTTCACTTTGAGTTAATTCTTTTCGTCCCGTAGAAGATTTCAGGAAAGTCATTAAAGAATAATCTTTCTCTAATGATACATAAAAACGTTGATCCGCGGGCGTTGCTTTACTTACGGAACTTTGCTTTAAAATTTAATACACAGGAAACAATTATAATCGAATTTCTCCCCAACTTTTCTGTAGGGCGTCGAACAAAATTACGAAAAATCGAAATTCCGCGAATATTTGAAAAGTTGTCGCTTAACCTCGTAAAGTGAGAAAAACCACATAAAAGTGGTCCAATTTTCAAACGACCATAACTTCTACAATAGCGAATATATTTCAATGAAATTTTGGAGGGAAGTAGAGCTCATGGGTACCTACAACAAAGTGCTAAACAACTTTTCAGTAGCGCGCCAGACAAATTTATTAAAAATCATAAACGAATTTTTAAGAAAAATCGACCGGGTAGGTCCACAAATTTTTCGACAAAATTAACAAATTTCAAATCGTTCTGGAAAAAATATTTTCAGTTGCAGGGGTCAATTGCAAGCATTTTTGGTCAAAATACATACCTCCGAATTCCTACGCAGTTTCGAGAAAAAAATTCGCGAAGGTGTGAAATTTAACGACAATATTCAAAAATTACAAATCGTTCTGGAAAAATTATTTCTGGTTGAGAGGGTCAATTACAATCATTTTTGGTCAATAGACATACCCCCAATATCCTACCCATTTTCGAGCAAAAAATTCGCGAAGGTGCGAAATTTTTCGACAATATTAACAAATTTCAAATCGTTCTGAAAAAATTATTTCTGGTTGAGAGGGTCAATTACAATCATTTTTGGTCAATAGACATACCCCCAATATCCTACCCATTTTCGAGCAAAAAATTCGCGAAGGTGCGAAATTTTTCGACAATATTAACAAATTTCAAATCGTTCTGAAAAAATTATTTCTGGTTGAGAGGGTCAATTACAATGATTTTTGGTCAATAGACATACCCCCAATATCCTACCCATTTTCGAGCAAAAAATTCGCGAAGGTGCGAAATTTTTCGACAATATTAACAAATTTCAAATCGTTCTGAAAAAATTATTTCTGGTTGAGAGGGTCAATTACAATCATTTTTGGTCAATAGACATACCCCCAATATCCTACCCATTTTCGAGCAAAAAATTCGCGAAGGTGCGAAATTTTTCGACAATATTAACAAATTTCAAATCGTTCTGAAAAAATTATTTCTGGTTGAGAGGGTCAATTACAATCATTTTTGGTCAATAGACATACCCCCAATATCCTACCCATTTTCGAGCAAAAAATTCGCGAAGGTGCGAAATTTTTCGACAATATTAACAAATTTCAAATCGTTCTGAAAAAATTATTTCTGGTTGAGAGGGTCAATTACAATCATTTTTGGTCAATAGACATACCCCCAAAATCGTACCCATTTTCGTGCAAAAAATTCGCGAAGGTGCGAAATTTTTCGACAATATTAACAAATTTCAAATCGTTCTGAAAAAATTATTTCTGGTTGAGAGGGTCAATTACAATGATTTTTGGTCAATAGACATACCCCCAATATCCTACCCATTTTCGAGCAAACAATTCGCGAAGTTGCAAAATTTTTCGACAATATTAAAAAATTTCACATCGTTCTGGAAAAATTATTTTTGGTTGAGAGGGTCAATTACAAGAAACCGTGTTGTAGGAGGGCTGCCTGTATTTGCTATATTTAATAGGGTATATTGATTATATTAAAAATCGTCAAGGATCCCGGCGGCGAATAAATATTCCCGCGAAATTCAAACGGGCTAGCGGGGAATGCAATTTGCCGCTGCGACGAAGGAGTAATTAGAACAAACGAATGGTGGCTGAAACTGTCTCGTATCGATTCGTGCCGAACAGTGCCAGTGACCGAGGGTCGATGGAGGCCCGATCGCACGAAACGCGACGTTCCGACTGTGTTTCGTTGATTTCGTCTAATGTTTCCGTGGAGCTAACGCGTCATTAGAATTTCCAATCGTACGTGTGTGTGTGTCTTTTTTTTTTTTATTTTGCGTTGGGTAGCCGCTGGAACAAGGTCCGATCTATCGCGAACGCGTCGAAGCCTCTGGTCAAATTCGCTCTGCGTCGTAACGTCAATTGAGATTCCTCGAGCGAGTGTATTCCTTTCCCCGATAGACATCCACCCCGTTGTGTTATTTTAGAAACCACGGGACACTGCAGTTGTGTATTTAATATTATATTTGAATAACGTCGAAACATTAACAACGACTCTATCTTCACACGTCTTCTCCCACCGGATGCTCGCTTAAGAGTGACCAGTGTCTAATACATCGCTCTCTCGTTCACTCTTCTACCGTAATGTATACAAATCATTCAGGCCATACACTCGTGTCACACTCATCTCTCCATACGAAACATCACTAGCTTCGTATCATGCTTTCTAGCATTCTACGACAACCAGTATGTACCCACAATGGGCAAGGAGCAGAAGTGCCACGAGTCTTCCCACTTCTTTTAGCTTCTCCATGGCTTTAGGATTTTCCCGAACATACAACATGACGATTTCCATTCAATATTCATGCAATTTTGTCGGTGCTTTCTTGACCACGTATCATTCGATCAATTTTGCTTTTATTTAAAAAATTTCACATCGTTCTGGAAGAAATTATGTTCGGTTTCGAGGGTCAATTACAATCATTTTTAGTGAATAGACACACCCCCGAAATCCTACCCAGTTTCTACAAAAAAATTCGAGAAGATGTGAAATTTTTCGGGGGAAAAGAAATTCTTCAAATCGTTCTAAAAAAATTATTTTCGGTTGCGGGGGTCAATTACAATCATTTTTTGTGAACAGACATACCTCCGAAATCCTACCCAGTGTCTACAAAAAAATTCGAGAAGATGTGAAATTTTTCGGGGGAAAAGAAATTCTTCAAATCGTTCTAAAAAAATTCTTTTCGGTTGCGGGGGTCAATTACAATCATTTTCGGTGAACAGACATACTCCCGAAATCTTGCGCATTTTCGAGAAAAAAATTCGAGAAGATGTGAAATTTTTCGGGGGAAAAGAAATTCTTCAAATCGTTCTAAAAAAATTATTTTCGGTTGCGGGGGTCAATTACAATCAATTTCGGTGAACAGACATACCCCCGAAATCTTGCGCATTTTCGAGAAAAAAATTCAGTACGGGCGGAACTTTAAACATTAATAACTTTTCAACGGAGCCTCGATCAACAAATTTTCATCCTTAATTTTTATTTTATTTTGGCCTCTAGAATCTTCCATTAAAACATCCTGTATAAAATGTACATTTTCCTGTTTCAAATACGAGGAATATAAAGATACGATAATCTTCTTATATTTTTGTTCGTATTGTTCGATGCTGTTTTCGGTTGCGTTATTTGAAAAATCGCGAAATAGGCAGAAGCACGATCGAACTATGCGAAGCGAACGCAGAGGAGGACAGGCAGGTACGTTAATACTTTAACGGGGTGGAGATTTTATAGCGTCAACGGTACAACATTGTCGCGTGCGCTGGTTCCACTGGCGGCGCATAAATTAATGTTATCTCACAGGATTATATACCTGGCCCGAGCCGGCACGATGGCTTCCGCGGGGCTATAAAATTGACGTATTTTTTTGCCCCGCGGAATCGATTAGATGTTTTCCCGTGTTACGTGAGTCACGTAACGTCGTTGAGGCGACCGGGAACTTCGTTTTTCTTCGTTCCGTGTCAGCCAACGCGCTCGCCTCCGCGACGTTATCGCGGGTCATTTATTTTTGGAATCGTTTCTCAAACAATATCGTTGTTAACACATTCGATGTGCTACGGAGTATGTATACGGAGTGTATTTCAAAAACAAAGAAAATTTTATGGTCGTCTCCCTGTATTTCCATAAATATTCTTTCATTTTTTTTCATTCGAAGCGTTCAAATCTTCGAAGAGATTTATTTGCTGTATATCGTGGTCACAAAACTGCGCGTATTTTCGCGAAGAATATTTATTTTATTAATTCTAAAAGTGTTGAGAATGTTGTTCCTTAACCCCCGTAAACTGAGAAAACCCCCATAAAAATGGTCCAATTTTCAAACGGCCATAATTCCTACAGTAGTGAATATATTTCAATGAAATTTTTTTCTAAAGTAGTGCTCATGGGTATCTACGAAAAAGTATTAAACGACATTTCCGTACAGCGTCAAAGAAATTTATTAAAAATCAAAATCTACAGGGGGTAGGTGCTGAAATATTTCTGCGGAATTGAAAGTTTCAAATCGTTCTAAAAAAAATATTTTCGCTTGCGGGGGTCAGTTACAATCATTTTTGGTCAATATATGTACGATGAAATTCTACGCACGTTCGAGAAAAAAATTGTTTACCGA